CCCTAACACTGTTTTATTAAGATAGATTTGAATAATTACAAGGAGGCCCTTAGTTGGGCAAGAAATTACAAAGAACATAATATAGACAGGATGGGCCCAGAATAAGGCCCATTGCAGAAAAACATAAATAATAAGAAAAGAATAAACAGCCTATGGGCCATTCTGCCCATCTTCTCTACAACCTTCTTTGAGGATATGCCCTACTATCATAAGGCTTCTCCTCAGGGGGAGAATAGTGAGGAAGGAATTTCAGTTTCAGCTCCAAGAGTTCCTTTACCTGTCCCGGTTACTGGGGGGCGGAGTTGCGAAGAAGGTTGTCAAAAATGCAGGGAGTTGAGGGTGTATCACAGAAAGTGGTGGAGGCAGGTTGATTCTCATACTCAGTAGCAATCCAGGCCAGTTCCAACATCTTCTACTGCTCCCACTATTGATCCCACTGTTACAGAGGTTCAGCCTTCACCGACATATGACCTTGATCTTCCAATTGCTATTCGTAAAGGGAAGCGTTGTTGCACCTCATCCACTGCCCATTGCATCTTCAAGTTCCTTTCCTATAATTGTCTCTCAGAATCCTACAGATCTTACTTGGCATCTATTTCTTCTATTCCTATACCTAGAAAAGTGTAAGTAGCTCTTTTGATACCTGAATGGAAGGAAGCAATGCAAGTAGAGATGGATGCTCTTGTCAAGAACAACACATGGGAATTAGTTAACCAACCTGAAGGAAAGAAACCTATTGGATGCAGATGGGTTGTTTATTGTGAAATATAATGTTGATGGTATTGTAGAGATGTATAAGGTCAGATTGGTTGCAAAGGGATTCACACAAACTTATGGCATAAACTATACAAAAACCTTTGCACCTGTTGCAAAAATGAACACTATCAGAGTTCTTCTATCCATTGCTGCAAACTTCTCATGGCCACTATTTCAGCTGGATGTTAAGAATGCCTTCCTCAACGGACACTTGCAAGAGGAATTATACATGGAGTTACCCCCTGGTTTTTATAGTACAAAAGCAGGAAAGAAAGTTTTCCTTTTGAAGAAGGCCTTGTATGGGCTGAAACAATCCCCGAGAGCTTGGTTTGATAGGTTTAGACTAGCTTTGGACAAATTCGGATACATACAGGCTCAGTCAGATCACACCCTCTTCTTTAAGAAGACAGGTCATTCCCTTACTCTACTTGCAGTCTATGTAGATGACATTGTGATAACAGGAAGTGACACTAGTGAAATTGAAACCCTTAAACAACACCTTCACAAGGTTTGAAGTGAAAGACCTAGGAAAGTTACACTATTTCCTAGGAATTGAGATAGTTCGATCTAAGCATGGCATTTTCATCTCCCAAAGGAAGTATATTCTGGACTTAATGGAAGAAACTGGCAAGTTAGGAGTGAAACCTGTTGATACTCCCATTGAGCCTAACCATAAGATAAGTGCAGAAAGTGGAGAACTCCTTGAGGACAGGACTATGTACCAAAGGCTAGTTGGGAACTTCTTTATCTCTGTCTAACCCAAATAGATATTTCTTATGCCGTTAGTGTTGTCAGTCAATACATGCATTCTCCTAGGACCACCCATCTCCTTGCAGTAGAAAGGATCCTTGCCTACTTAAAGAGATGTCYAGGGAGAGGTATACTCTTCAAGAATAATGGTCATATGAAAATAGAAGTGTATACAAATGCCGATTGGGCTGGATGTGTTGATGATAGGAGGTCCACCTCTGGATATTGTGCATTTGTGGGGGAAACTCTTGTTTCCTGGAGAAGCAAGAAACAAAATGTTGTTGCTCGCTCTAGTGCAGAAGCGGAATACAGATCCATGGCCAATGGTGTTGCAGAAGTGTTATGGCTGAGATCCTTGCTTAATGAGTTGGAGGTTGATTATAAGAAGGCTCTATTGTTGTATTGTGATAATCAAGCTGCAATTAATATTGCCCACAACCCAATACAGCATGACAGGACTGAGCATATCGAGGTTGACAGACATTTTATCCAAGAGCAAGTCGCATCTCAAGAAGTATGCCTTCCTTACATTGCTTCAGACATGCAGTTATCTGATCTCTTCACCAAAGCAGTCACAAAAGGCAAATCGGAGATAGATCTACGCAAGTTGGGTATGACAAATATCTACTCCCAACTTGAGAGGGAGTGAAGAAATAGTTGGTTAGCCACGAGTGTGGGGTT